CTGCTACTTAACCCTCTCGTCGGGACATTCGAGTGGCAGGATCTGATGGAACACATGCAATCGGATGTGTTCCCACTACGCGACAATGATAATCCTGACTGGGAGTCTCATATCATCAACATCGTGTTCGATGCACTGGTGCTACAGCGTCCTATGCTTTACACTGAATACAAGCGAGCCATGCGCAGAAACAAATCTCCAGCACCGTTCCTTCAATGGCTGAATGCCAAATCATGGTGGCCCATTAGACATATATGGACGAAATACCATCAGCATCACCCCAATGACCAACGGCTGTTCCGGGAGGTTGTACCAGACTGGCTGCGGTCAGTCCTTGTCGCGGCCCGTGTCCCTCTCAAGATAGAGGTCGCGTGGCAGAGTGATGATAGTAGGGAATCAGTGAAACTCATCCAGGTAGATGACCTAATTGCATCCAACCCTGCGGAATCCCCCGCACCTAGTCTTCATTCACTGTCGTCTGAATCTGATCGGAAGGAGGCCGCCCCGACTCGGTACATTGTGCAATATATTGAGGTATGGCCGCGCTCACCGTCACACAGTGAGCACTGAGACATTTTCCTTTTTCGTATTGTCTACTATTTATTGGAGCCATGGACTCCCGCGCCTCTACGGACGCTAGTAGTTACGCGCCATACAGACACTAGTAGACAGGTGTACATTACCCTATGTTGGTAGCACTTTAAATACAGGAACAAAAAAAAAAAAAAAAAAGACGCATGTACGCGCTCAGTACAAGCCCCTACGACAAGGCCATACTCATTCTTAACAGAGCTATCAGTTGCTGCCTTCATTTCGCTCCGCTTATTGCCGTTCCGCTGCTCGACCTACGGTGCTCGTGAATCGGGTTCGTGTAGCAGGAGAATGACGCGCGCACCTGGTCAGCGAATCACTTCGCATAGTGATAGTCACCTTTGAGACGTGCAACAATAGGCTCGAATTCAGCTCCATGTGCGATAGCTCGTTCAATAATGATGTCGCGCTGAATGTTGAAGCGCATGTCTGCGCCATGTATCGCTGACAGCAGCGTCAGGCTTGGATGTTTACAGAGGTTATTAGGGACGTACCGCGGTCAAAAGCAACAACAGCTGCCACATGCTGGAAGCACTCTCACGTGAGTGCCACAATATGAGACTGTTGCTAAGTTAGAAGGATCTCTCGCTTCGCAGAATAGCAAAGACGCGTGTATTCGTGGTGCTAGTTCCCCCAGGGGGTGAGATTAGCAAAAGTGCGACCACCACGCACCACGTCAACCTCAGATGCGGTCTGGGGTTGATTTGTAGCTTCTGAGTTGGCATGTGCTGTCGCCATCCTGACCACTAGCGAGTTCCTGCCAAACCGCCTGGCTCCACAGCTCCCCACCTTCAGCCAGCCAGGCGTCTTGCGCATGTGCTGTTCCGGTCGATGCTGCATTGCCGGGATGTAGCGTGCGGTACCGTCGGGTGCTGTTCGTCCTCATGCTAGCCTTCCTTGCTTCGCCTGGCAGCGAAGTACGCGAAGAGGAACGAGGCGCAGCGCGATAGTGAATTGTGCAGCGCTGAGACAGTAGGCCTGTACAAAATAGCAGTTAGAAAGCGGTGCGATAGTAGAGAAATAAGGCGGTACGCACCGCACCCTCTTTAAATTCCGGCTCAACATGAGTCCCGACTCTCGAGTATGCTCGATGATGCTGTTGATAAGGGCGCAGCCAACGAGCACCAGTGTCTGTCAAAGGTTATTGCACAGCAGATGTGAAGCAAATATATCAGGCGGTTGGAGCATTCGAGGGGATATGGCAAGAGAGTTGAGAAGCCGAGCTCTGCGGGGCGGGCACATATATTCTTGTTGAGATCAGACAGTCACGTGGCAGTGTCAATCTCAGATCTCGACTCCGCTGCCGACCGCGTCATTTCTGGCTCACTTGTCTGCAATCCAGCAGTGTCAATCTAGGTCATCGTACTTGAGGTATGATTTATCAGCAGCACGCCCACTCTTCGCTACATTGTGACAGGCTGACGTCGTTCCAGACCTAGCCCCGCTGTGTCTCATGTTCACGGCCGAAGAATCTGCGTGATAGTCACGTTCGTTCTCATCTACCACCCATCGAACGACTGCTAATTATTGACAGCACTGCATCAAGTTACGCGTCGTCCGTTGTCCGAGCTAGAGCGAGGCTTCGTTTTCCCGAGTACCCTAACGCTTGTGTCCCTGCCAGCATCAAATTTGCCATCGCAGTTCGCGTCTCCCCTATCCTGAAGATTCTGTGTTAACTAACTCATGCATATAAACCCAGTTACCCAGCCAAGAGCCGTGAAATTGCTCTGTTTCTCCTCATGCCGGTCTCGCCAGGCCGCTCATCAACTGCATTCTCTAGTGCCTTCGCCATACCGCTGTGCAGAGGCCGACTCTGGCTGTAAATGCAGCATTGACCGCTCATGCACCGGTCTGGATCATGATTTGACAACGCTTCGCTGTCGCATGAGATGGTACTTACCGCGTCAAGCGTATTACTCCAAGATAGACCAACCGGCGAGGATGGCGAAGCAACTGACGCCTCCCATCTTGAACATACATTGACTCGTCTCTACTTCAAGCTCGATTTCTGCGCCCAGTTTTATGCTGAGGAAAAGTCAGCGGCTCTGCAGACTAGACGCTGTACATGCGTCTCTGATGCGGGAGATGTGCCAACAGCACTGCGCTCAGGGCGTTCGCAAGCATTCCGCGACGTCCCAGTACCGTGGCTGGACGACTGCCTGTGCAACATTGCATTTGGTGAGTCCACGATTCGGGCTAGTATTGGCACACACTGACGCATAAGGCAGTTGATGTGCATTACTTTCCCTGCGTGGTGGTGGAGTTGCGAAGGAGTATCAACACTGAATGTCTGGGTATAATTAATATTGTGTTGGACACCGAGTATTCAAGGTACAGCATGACCGTCCCTCCATATTTTCGAGCTACTCAATATTGAGGACAAATGCTGCAGTGCTCATACAGTGGCAAATGATAGGAAATGCGAGAAATCGACGCTCGTACGCGTGCGCATTGGCCAACTGGGACTGCACGATGTCCATATGCTGAGAGGTACGTCAATTTGGAACCATATCACCTCTGCATCACGTTTGCGTGGCTTATTCTCTCGCGCTCTGGTTTGCGACGGAGCGCATGCTCTTGCACGAAATCATCGCGAAACAGTAAGTATTCCGACAAGGAACTCGTGGACGCCAGAGCGGCAGCAAGCAGTATTTTGCAAGAATGTTACCCAACATTTTCGCGCCTCCGAAGAAGCGACAGCCTCTCATAGGGTCATTAGGGCACGGCAGATTGTCTGATTCCAGGAATGCTGCTCACCACTGGGTAGCTACTCCTGTGCTCGCTTCCAGGCAACAAAACAGAGGGTGCAAGAGGCCGAGGCGCATGCGCTCGCGAAATCTGCGCAGTTTCCCAAGACGAGTTGATCGGCGTCGAAAGGGTGCATCGAGCGGCGAGTGTTTTCTGCATCATATCGCTTATTACCTGTGCTCTGGTGTGCGAGAAGAAGCATTCAACCGGTGACTGGGAAGTCTTTTGTTCATACGTTTTGTCTTTCAGCGTCCACCGTATGGCTCATCGAACGAACATTTCTATTATGATATTTTTTTGTTTAAGGCATCCATATAACATTCTCCGCACTCGCGCCATCATTATCATTATCGCATGCATGAACGACAAAATCATCAGTGCAATCTAGTACTCAATGTAGCGGTAAAATATACATGCTCAGCCTTCGGAGTCTGCACCATTAACCCCAGGACCTCTGCCGTCCCTGCTCTGTCCACACTGCCTCTGACCTCGTCAGCTCGTCTATCGATCTTGGTTCCATGACCCTTCCCACCGCGTGACATCGCGCCTTGTGCTTGGCGGGCGGTAACGAAGACCATGAACTCCAATATTCGGGCATGCTAATATCTGGCAATGGATGCGACATCGTGCGGCGCGATTCGGGTTAGATGAGCCCTTGTGGCGGGTCAGATGAAATGGCCAGTTTGGATGACAATGATGGCTGCGGTCCAGACGATGACGACGGCTGCGGTTCAGCCAGCCGTTCCTCGCCGTGTGCGTCCGCGGTGGAGGCGGGTCTAATGCTTTTCGAGAGCAGATCGCAAGACAGGCATCGTGCCGTGTTAGGCGTAGAGTCCTCGTGCCTTGCGCGAATCCCGGTGGTTGGTGTTCAGCACGTTGGTAGTACCAGCTGCCTCCGCAGAGTTGACCGCATCGGGCAAGCACCGGCCATACTGTCGGCGGCGGTCGTAGGCAAAAGCTTGTGCAGCTACTCGGGAAGCCGCGCACATTGGCTAAGCTGCGCTTCGCTTCTTGTGTTCGAGCGGCCGCGGTTGGCGGGGTCCACCTAAGGAGTAGCAGCTCGCACGACGACATTACCTGCGCCTTGCTAGATGTGCCGCAACTGCCACCTCCCGTCTCCTCAGCTTGACCGCGATTTTTGCTCGCGTGGCAGCCTGTCCCATTGCTCTTCGTTCTGACTGCAGGAAAGGAGCGAGGTCGATTTGAGTACCTGCAAAGATGTTTGCGTAGGCGCTCGTCGCCATCAAACGATCTGCACGAGACGTGGCTGAACGGTATCGAGAATACAGGACGCGACGCTGACGACTAGGCAAAAGACGAGGATCATGCCGTTCCGTCACCCTCGTTCCATGCGCCGGTCTTGACTTTGTGCCATTTGACTGTTGACATTTGCTGCTGGTGCGGCGGGCGCTGCAGACTCCGCTGAAGCAGAAAGCTGGCCACGGATAAGATGAACGCGAGGCGGCTTTGAGATGGTAAGAGGTGACGGGCTGGAAGGGCATGGTTCCCTATCTGGGAGGAGAGGCGCATGAGATCTCTGGGTCGGTTGGCAAGCCAGAGCGCGGCCGAGCGTTGGCCATGGCGATGCGGGCAGCTCTCCATCTGTTGCAGCAACGGCGGAGGGGTCTTCAAGTGGGTAGTCGTGCACGGGATGCCGAGCTTCTGGCCAGAGAGCGCGATGCCCTGCGCATGGTTACCTGTGCCAGCCGTGCCTAGCAGTGAGAAATGGTCTGCGAGCGTTTGCAGGAACACGCACATTGCGCGGACGACTCTGCGCTGCGGCAGCTAGAGTAACGCATTATCCAAGTGCACGCGTACCATCCGCAGAATTAGTTAGGAGCTAGGGTATTCTTCAGTGACATGACAATATTTGCAAGGACTGGAAACATACATATCTCGCATCTTCACTGATAAGAATGGCACAAATATTATCCATGTGGCCGACGAGTTTGCTGACCCTCTTGCCACTGCGAGGGTCCCACATGTACACAACACGTTCTGGCGAGCCCAACACAATTACCGAGCTGAACGGGTCAGCAGCCTGGGCGCACACGGATGCTTCAGGTCCAGAATCTCCAGATACCTCGGATGCGTTCAGCGTCACCGGAGCATTCCGCTCCGTGCACGCAGGGTCCCAAATCTTGATCGTGCGGTCGAATGATGCGGACGCAAGCCACTGGCGATCCCAACTGAATCAACAATGGGTGGGAGTAACAAGGATCATTGGGGATGCGCACCACGATAGCAGATTCTGAAGGGGAGTGTGCATGTGGAGACCAGGCTTTGACTGTACCATCCAACGATGCGGATACAACTACCAGAAGCATGAGTGTCCGACTTGAACTATCAAGCAAGAGCATACCTGTCTGATTGTGGTTACACAGAACAACATCATTCACTCAGTTTGTATGCACTTGGATGGACTGGCAGAATTGGGACATCTACGGCTGTTTGTCAGACTTTACGAAAGGCTGCAGTAAACCTGCCCACCTGCCCACCTGCCCGGGCTGGAACGCCTCCAGGTCCGTCTCCCATTGCTCTTCCCAGGGGATACTATCTTCTGGTCTCAGCGGACGCCTCTTATTCCACCTATTGACGTCCTGCACGTCTCCCAGGATATCGCCGTCCCTTCGGCCCTCGTTGACCTCATCTTCGTCCTCGGCCACATCGTCTGCCCAGCCGGTCATGGTCTCCCATCTGCCAAAGTTCCTTTGCATGAAATTGTCGCTGATTCCGTACCGCTGAGCGCGCTTCTTCATTGGGATGTCCAAGTCCCAGGAGATGCCCATTCCATCGCGTCCACCGCTGTAGAGGATGCCTTCGGGTGTGCTACACCCGACGGGCTGTGTGGCGGTGTCGAGCGCAAGGCAACACACACCAAGTCAGTGTCGCGGATGCTGTCCCCACTTGGGCCAAGGCTCGTTCGGTTGTTTATGCTCATGTCGGAAGGGGATGAGCAGGCTCAACACGGCGCCTCCAAGATGGGCTCGTCCTCTGGCAGCCATAACCTGGGGACTGGTTCCGAGGGCGGTGGAATTATGTAGCTTACTCGTCATCGAACAGGTGCCATCCTTCATCAGCGTAGGTGGGTGGAGAACGACGAGCTCGGTTGGGAAGCAAGTACAAGCGAATGGGTTCAGAGGTGCCTGAGATCTTATCTTATCTCCGAATGTGCTGACGTGCAAGGTTTTGATCTCATCTCATCCCATGAGTCATGCAGTGTGCATAAGCATGCTCACTGCTTGGAATTGTCGACACGACATCGTCCTGAGTGTAAATGCCCATTTGATTTGAGATTACGCAGGTCATATTAGGTATCCACAATGTCGGTGTGCCAGAAGACAAGTCTCGTCACTCGCGCCCCTTCCGAAACAGATGGAGGCGCACGTGACTGCCCGCGGGCTCATAGCAGCTCTGCGAGTGGCTGGTAAACGAGTCTAGGTCTTCTCCGACATGTCCCGTATAATAATGCCCCTCCGATTTGGATGTGTCCAAACGCCACCGTGACAGGCTCTCCTCCAGACCCAAACACGAGTCTGAATGTGGAAACTTAGATTAGTACTAATGATTTTATGTCCCGACGCTGCGACCGATGCCACCAGATCGAAGTGGAAGCACCATATCCAACTTATACAAGGGCACACATACCAGCACCAAAATCTTTATTGACATCAAATCATGCCTGTAGTGCTACTTTGCACTCGACATCTCAGAGGCAGTTGAGTCAGTCAACGCGCTGCCGCAAATGTTTGGAGCAGGCTCAAAGTGCGTCTACATTCATTTTTGCTCTTTTGGCAGTCGTGTTGCGCTTATGAGAGCAACCAACAGACATGCTTATCCCTGTTCAGTCATACACTAATGGACCGAGTACTGTGCGCAATGAACAGTGAAGTGGCTGTGGGCACTTCTAATGCTCAGCCGGCATGATGATAATCCATAGTAGGCCGGGAAGGACCCCGGGACGGGAGAAGACCAATGCCCGTAGAGTATCAGTACGATGGACCTGGATTATACTGAACATATTTGGGTAGCACAGAATATAATGTTAATTTTATACGCTTTAAAGCCAGTATACAAAGCACACATGTCATCTCACACCTTTCAACGCTAACGCCACAATCCTCAAGCAAAGGGCATTCAGCCCCACTTCGATGCGGAGCATCTCCATTATCTCCTCCTCTGAAAGCTGTGAGCACACGATCAGGTCCTCATGTTCCACAATGCCAGTGTGGACGAACTGACACACGATTTCAGGTGTGGACAGAGGCGGGAAGATGTCGTAAAGGAAGTTTTGGACGAAAGGCTGGTCAGTTCCGTGCACGGGAGGTCCAGTGGGATTTGGATTAGCAGAGTCAGCTGTACGAGACACACTGCTGTTATTAATAGATGGCTGCGATCTAGAAGTGTCCTCCATTTTGACATCCTAAATGAACACCGGATGTCAGCGAACTCAAAGTAAGGACAAGAACGCCTGTACCTCTTCCACATCAAGCTTCTCTTCCAGCGGATGCATCAATTTGTCTTCGCCTCCAAGAGCTTGCATAGTAGTGTCATTTCTGTCGACATCTATTGAGTTCTCTTTTGTGGGCCTGCTATGGCCAATGGTGCGAGGCTCACCATTGGAGAAGCCCACGCTGCCTTCACATCGTGGGGTTTGGTCTTCCGTCTGATGCAGAGTGAGCACCTTCCAAATTGACTAACCATAATCACGTACCATCCCTGATGCCATCGGATGGCTGTCCGATATTTCAGAAGTGTGCTCTGCGCAGATCAACAGTGCCTGGTCATGCGGTGGAGCAATCTCGTCCTACCAGCAGACAGGTCAGACTCGTGTACAACAGAATGCACAAAGCTTTACCTTAGACTCGGGACCGTTGCTAACAGACGGCTCCTTCTCATTCAGCACATGAGCCAGCTGCCAAATCGATTTTCGCCTTGTTGAGACTTCCCTTGCTTGCTTGCTGAGCTTTCCCAAGGTTCGCGCTTGTGTTCTCAGAACAGAACACGATTGAATCAGAGAATTGTGTAAGATATACTCCACGGGCCATTCGCCTTTGTATCGCGACAGCAGTGGGAATTCTGCATGCACCTAGAAAGTTAACCTGAGACGACAGTTTGGAAGATATACATAAAGTCTACCTCTTGGTATAGCATGGTCTTCGCCTTCGTATCCTGATTTTGCCAAAGCTTCTGTGGATCCAGATGCTTCCTGCAGAGATCAGACAAGCAAGTCTGGGCATCAAGCTAAATGTCATGCCTAAAGCATGAAAAAAAAACCATGTACCCACACCTTGAGTGCTTTCCGCTCAGCCTTAGAAAGCTCCGATACCTGTCTAACAGTTCTGCAAGCAGCCCAAGATCCTGGAGGCTGGATAGCAATCATTTGGTGTAATATGTTGCGTGGACAGTCGTTATGGTTAAAGAGCAAGCAAGGGGATGGAAGGATTGTGTGAATGCTCCACCGACACGCTAATTAATGCATGGAAATCTTTCAATGTCACTAGCACTGGGTAGTAAGCATGCTTTTTCCGGCGTAAAATTGGCCAAAAACTAATTGAACAAGGCCCCAACTTTCTCTGGTTTTCACTTGAAAACAACTGAAGGCAAAACTCAGTTTTCCACCAGTTTTACTGTGTTTTAGACCATTTTGGCTGGTTTTGCATCAAATTTACCTTAGTTTGCATCGGCGTAGAATCGAGGAATAACTGGGCCCTGTTTAGCTGCTTTTACCTGAGTTTTCTCAAGAAAAAAACTGCACTTACCACCCTGTATGGGAAGGTGTAGGTCATTAAGGTCGAGCAGCGAGTCCTTGGCTTTTTGTTGACTCCAGGCTCACAAGAAATACCATTCTTCACAAATGCCAAGGACTGAGGAGACTTTGTCGCGCAATACGAGTGCTGCCTTCGCGGCGATATTCGAGTCGTTGGTACTAGCAAAACCCCGGGACACACCACGAAGGGCGAGCTCTCAGCCATTCCCTCAGAAATTATCTTTCCTGCATCATACCTTCACCAGCTCTCACGGACCAGGAAACACGCCACCATAAGCGCTGTCCGAGCCTTGCCCTTATGATAGTGTACGGTGAGGAAGGCTTGTGTTATAAACATGGTGTTTTTCACACGGTTAATAACATGTTTATAATGGTGAGAAACTCAGGGAAGTATTTGACCTGGTGAGAAAGTGTGAGAAACTCCGGTGAGTTGGCAAAGTGGTGCAGGCCAACGACAACACACCAAATACAGTCACAGTTATTGGCCGACGTCGTGCAGAAGTTCACTTGACAATGGCAAAATATATCCACTGCGCCAAGTGCGCTATCCCAATCATGACACAGGTTTCTAAGCACGCTAGAATTCCATTTTTGCACCTTGCGGTGCAACGCCTTCTCCTTATCCTGTTAGCACGATGGCGGACTGTCAGTGCACCATTCACGGCCTGAGGCTTCGCACTCTATTGAAAAACCTTCCAAAAAATCTCCCGTGCCCTTCAAAGGCGACGAAGACCAAGTTTGCTTGCTTTGGGCAGGTGACGTGCCACCTTCGGAAGTGGTCAAGGATATTGGAGGTATTGGGGATGCCATCAACTGTGAGCTCGAATGTGGTGCACGAGCTCAGCACAGGTTGTGCCTGTCATGAAACATGGAACGTATATCTGCGCTGCGGTGGCCACCTTTGGCATATGGGCATCCAGTGTCTCAAAAGACGATGCCGCTTTGCTAGACAAGTGATGAAACCCCGAGGTTCATCAAGAAGGGCGGATTAGTTGAGGAATGTGTCACTCTTTGCATGTGTGTGTATGCGAACCGTACACATCCTCTGTTCTTCCTCCGCAGTCCCGCACGCACCGCTGACGCAGCCTATCGCAGATGTGGCCACAAATGCAGTGAGGGTGGGGGACTACACCCTGCATGCGCAGCTCTTCCGTGCACACTTCGGCACAGCACACGTTGCAGGCATGCTCTATGTCATGACACCTTGTGACAGTGCTCACCGCAGTGATCTGGTTTGGGCACAGAGACATGATGGGGAGCACCTCAGTCCCGTCCAACTGTGAGACTTGGCGGTTGCTGACGAGGTTTGTTTGCAAGGGTTAGCGAGAAGCAGTGCGAACAGGATTCAGCCAGCTCATGGCCTCGCTCAAGCCTGAGGCGAGAGAATGGTGGACAGCAGATGTGTGCAGAGCGGCCTGCCCTTTTCTTGCTGAGTAGAGCTGACATCTCCGTAGCTCTCAAAGGACATCCAGAGAATCGAAAAGACACTTATATGGGGAAGATGTACAACTCGTTCTTTTCATTCACTGACCTGCTAATGTACGCACTAATCATCAGGTGATACTTAACAGCTGGTATGCGAATCCCATCGCCACCAATCCGGACCACCAGTGGAAGGGCTATGGCAGTATGCTTGGTCGTGCAGGATTCACTCAGGTGCAATATCTTCCTCTGACATCTCAGGCTTCTGTCCCTGACATGTCTGATTCTAGGGTGCAGAAGACAAAGCCATCTTCGCGCTGGGCACCTATCAAGTCCACAGTACTAGTAAGCGTACCGTGCCAGCGACCAATGCATTGAGCGCATCACTTGACGTTAATCGGCCAGCAGGTTGTCAGGCAGTTTCAAACCCCGCCTAGGCGCTTAGATTAGATTTCACGCTTGGGCAAGGGCACGAGTGTCAATAAAAATTATAAGTACATCTCATGCTATCCAAGATACTCAGAGACACCAAAAGTACTACATGCCGTAGTTTATAGTGGGCGAAATGGTCGTGCTCACGTGCTTTCACTTCCCGCTGTGATAGTGGCCAAGCCGACTACATATTGTGGCTTCGATATCAGGCTGGAGCAGACATGTAGGAGTAATACATAATTGCATAATCTGTTGCCAGTGTGAGGTATCTAAGACCCAATATAATCTGTCGATGGCGCAGCAGGGACACTTTAAATTTCTGTGGATGATGCCGAAGCTGATATTACTGCGAACAAGACATTGCGCTCGCTCGTCAAATGGATGCACGAGTTCTACCACCAAGAGAGTTGAAGAACAATGCTGGTAAAGAACACAAGGGTGACGACACTCTCTTCCCGCTAGTGGCAGCATTAGATACTCCTGTTTCTTACATATACCTTTGTAATGAGCCTCTAACAGTCTTCGGCAAAGCAACATAGTGAGATATATTTTAATATACATGTAGTGCATCAAAATAAGCATATATACTGCTGTCCTCCCCAACACTTAGCAAGAGCACACTGCCAACATACGTGTGAGTGCCAGTGCAGAGTTTAAAATCACAGACAACCTGCTGGCTGATTAACGGCAAGTGTCATGAGGTTGTCGCAGGGTCAGAGGTCTGCCATCTATGGTCACAATTTGAATACATGCAAAAAGATGCGTCGCCGGAGAGGCCACCACAAGGAGCGTTAGTCAGTGATCTTAAGGGATGATAATGTTGCTTGTGCTTCGGCCGTGGTGTGGGATACGGGAGCTGAAAGTGTTCTGTACAGGACAGTGTGAATTGTGGATGAGCATCACAGCGGCCGAGTGATGAAAGGGTTAATTTGCTCACCATGATCAGGCTCTTATAAATGCCTGTGGAGGGCTATGGCCAATGTATAGCGAAAGAGGGGAGTGGTCGTAAAGCTTCCATCTTTGAGGCAGAATGAGCAGGCTTGGGCTGTCGAAGACGTCGCGCGTACCGGCTGTGGAGCAATGGCACGTATGAGACTAGGCAGAGTGCAATGCATCGCTATAAGGCTAATCATGTCTGAGGCGGTCGAAGCTACATTGAAAGACCAGGAAGCTGCGATTGAAAGAGACTTCACGTGAGCGTGCAGAGTGAATCTCTTATATGGTAAGCGCCTTGGTCGCGTTTTAAATTCGGCAGCAGCACGTCTTGCAGCTTTCTTCCACTTATTCGATGAACCTGTCATGAGCAGCACCATCACTGGCACCTTCAAATCTCATCGACATGCCCTTGCCAATGTCCAGCCTCATACAGTCTTGTGCATATCATGATCACACTCCTTGCTAGTCTTACTGGTGAGAGCAGTTAGAAGTGATTGCACCGGCGTGCAGCCACATTTCCTTGCTCATTGCCCCATTCTGTGGTGCATGCGGAAACGCAGAGAAAAGACCAGTTCTGGCCCAAGGCTGCGGTGCTACCAGGACCCAGCCACGCGAACGCCCTCCACGCCAGTCAGTGGACCCGGAACTGGAACCACTTCAAGATTGCAGTGGGCCAGTTGAGGTGTACGTGGTGACATAAATTTGTGGCTACAGGCTGTTGGCTGATATGTTGGACGCGTGCAGGGCAATGTAGGGAAGATAGAAGAGGCCATGGTCCAGGGCTGTTCATCGGGGAGAGAGAGGAGAAAGACCACGGCACCATTGGCATCACCAATACAGCCAGCAGTGAGGACACCCCACCCTCACCCTCATCATGGTACGAGGTTGGGGTCGAGGTCAAGGCTTCGGCTTCTGTGCAAACTCTTGATTGCAAACATTGGGGACACTGTTGTACATGTCAAATTGGGTCGGCACTACTGATGGGCCAGCGAGACCTTGTGATTTAGATGCAGGTCATGTATATGGATTGTCATTGTCAAGGCCTGCTTGCCAGATGAATGCAACTTGCTCATTTGCGCTGAGCCTGAACGCAGGGTTGATCTCAATGAAGCATCCCGATGAAGGTAGTAGTGGGAGCCGTACACGGTCGATCTTCCAATCCTTGTCTTTGCCTCGCTCATCTGTTGTATCTGGGTAGCCAAGGCATACTGCAAGTGCTTTCTCAGCTGTTGTGAGCCTCTGTACAATCTGAGCCTCTGGCTGTTTATCTTTCCGCAGCCTCTCTCCTGCCAGTGTAATGAGTTGTTAAATCTCGTTGTCGTCACATGCCTTCCTGTGCAAACAGGTGCGAAGAACAACCACCTTCGAGAGTAGAAGGCCCGGACCATGGACCAGAGTGTCGACATGCAACTTGTGGATTTTGTAGATGTCGTACGGCAGGTTGCGTAAGCGGACCATTAGCTCTTCGAGCAAAGGAGGCAGGAGTATACTGTCAGCATGGAATATAGGTAACTTGAGTGAGTCTTGCCACTTCGCAACATTCTTTAGGTCTTCGATGCCATCGTCCTTGATAGCACGGTAGTCAGAAATGATGGGATGTGATCGCTGGCCGATGAGGATGTCGAATATAGCTGGGATTGCTTTATATAAAGCATCCTGAAGGGCGGGATTCGTGTAATTGTAGTGGTCTCCAGCATCCTCGACAAGGCAAGATGGCCAATGGATGCACCCAATAACCTGCACATCAGTTTGTTCTCATGTTAGCATTAGTAAATACCATAGTGGCATTGTTGCACACCTTGTGATCCAGCCCTCTGCTTTGTTCTGCCAGAGCTGAGGCAATTTAATGAATTGGCATCTTGCGAGTCATATCTTTTGGCTCTTGCGAACGTCTGTAGATATTTCCACTGTACCATTCAAGGAATGCAATGTTGCCCTCACGGCGTACTATCTTGGCCAGATGATACTGCGCTTTGACAGTTTCTTGGGTGTGGAGGAGAAAATGCTGTCCAATCCTATATGTCAAGAAATGAGAGACAGATAAAGATAATAGTACAGTGGGAGACATACATAGTGTCAGTCCATATAGAGGTGGAAGTATTGCATCATCCTGGACAGCACCAGTCGCAATTCCTGATATCCTCTGATAGACCAAATTACTGCTCAATGCATGGAATATGGGACCAGCAGAAGCACTTGTCGCATTAAACAGTGTCCCCATTATCCGCATTTTCTTCGTCTATACCACATGAACCGGCACAGTCTATAGTCTCTGAATCTGAAGGTACTGGATGGAGATGTCCAGATCCATGATGGCTTCTCACATTCGATGTCTGTACCATCTTGACAAAGTCTTGAAAGTCAGGACAGTCAGACTTCAAGTTGCCTGCTTCTGTTGCAACATTGGACATACAGATAACACACTTTGCAGGAAAAATCATGGCAGCAATTTTTAACCGCACCCACCACCGCACCCACTCTTGCAATGCAGGAAAGCGGAGATAAAACCTGTTAACGGCTTGGTCGAAGCCTAATGAGGACATATCTAGCCCAAGGATATCCACAATGAAGTCATCAAACTTAGTGACGAGGTTTGACGGAACAAGCTTGCCGTCACTCCTGACTTGCCGAACAGAGCCACGGAAGTGTATGCGACATCCCTTCTGAAACTCTGACGCCTCATCTTTATACTTTGCTTGAAGGGCGTCCAGTATCTCGTATGTGAAGTGCTAAGTCAATGCGAGACCCTGTTGGGTAACTGCAATGAGTACTGCCTCAGCATATTCTTCTTCATGAGCTAAGCACTGCGCCTGCGAAAAGTCGAAGACCTATGAGAGATGTCTGTCATCACACAGATAGCGGTAGCTAATTGAGCGAGCAACTTTGAGCCATGACTTACTCCTGACCACATTTTTGTCAAATTGCGAACCTGCAGCTTCGAGAATACCCGTATTGAGTGTGCGAAAATGTGCGCGATACGAGGCAGTGTCTTTGGTCATGATCCATGTGTATAATACAGGAAACCATACGTTCAAAACAAGGCTGTACACACTGGTTCCGACAAGCTTACCATCTCGGAAAAAACTGTGGTCGCTATCCGTCACGGCACCATGTCGAGTGCTAATAGGCCCTTCAGCGGAACCATCGAGCCAGTCCTGGATTGCTTTTCACAGAGTGTGCTTCAAGAACGCTGTCTGGACTGAGATGAATGCAGGGTTTGTGATCTGCGAAGCAACGAAGATGCATTCACTGTAGGTGTCTTGCATCTTCTGCAGCTCTCCGAACATGCCAAAGCTGCTGCTTTTTCCTCCACCAGCTGTTGTCAGCAAGCCCAACCAATCGCGACTTTGAGTCACAGTGTCTCGCACCTTCTGTGGGTCTGCCAATGCAGAAGCGATCTCTGCGAGAGGAACGCTTCCCGGTGTAGTCCCTCCTTTGCAGAGCTAATGAGGTGTTACCTCTGGTCGTAGTAGGACTTGAGAATTAAGGGCTTTCTGCTCTCGCTTAGAAAGACGGCTAACAGGCAGTCGTGGGTGGCTGTATGTACCACAATGAGACCAATGGACAATGTGCTTGCCATCAGAGCTGTGTGTCATCTTGTAGCCGAGGGTGTATGCACTGAAAGAGATGACCTCAAGCCGTGGGTCTGGACGGCATATATTGGGGCAGGATTCACTAACTTGTCTTCCCCCAGAATCCTGAGTATAAGGACAAACTGGGGTCTTGCAGGCTGCACACTGAATGATACCTAAGCACTTGTACTTTGCTGTAGAGATACCATTGACTGATAGGTTGCCTACTGATCGGAAGACTCACTTGCTTGCACGCTATGAAGGATCCTTGTCGTCATTTGCGACAAGCTCCTCTTGGTCGATATTGCCGTCAGAGTCAGTCAATGGTGGATTGACTGAGATGTCAATTAGTTATAGTATTAGATGGCAACAAAAAAGGCCGCACCACGGTTATGATCATCATGTGGCCCAGGCTCAGGCTTATGCGCATTAGATCGAACACTAGCCTTGGTGTCACCAGAGTCACGGTCTGCAGAAGGCATCGGTACTGTACCCAATGTGTGAGGTAGGAAATGTGGAGGACGTAGCAGTGGGTAGCTGATATTGTAAGAGTTGGAATTCGTAGAACATGGACTTAGGTGAAGTCCAGGAAATGATATAGAAAAGGACTGATAATACAGGAGGCTGAAGCTACAGTACACTACATTTCTGGCAGGTATTTATACTAACCTAACTACTGTGAAATCAGCATAGAAGGGACAACATATGTACGAGATTGTCCTGGAAATGGAAGGGTTTGGAAATAGAAAGGAAGTTTCAGAAATGGGAAGGAGGTTTCGGAAATGGAATGGAGGTTCGGAAATGGAAAGGAAAAACATATAGCGGGACCGCGGACCGATTGTAACATTAGCTCCTCTTCTAGCCAATGAGCTCTGCAAATAAATCTTGCAGGAGTATTTCAATCGAGGTTAAAGGAGTTAGTCTCAGAGTTTCCAGGGAAAGCGCTACTGATGACTCCACAAGTAATTGGGCTATCAGAGCAGCGACATTGCGGGTATGGAGTCGCTCATCGAGGCACTGTGGAGGTAGATTCTGGAGGCATAAAGAACTCTCACGGAGCTAATTAGTAAATATTTTTGGCTGAAAGAGGCATGAAAATCACCATGAGAAAAGAAGCTCAAAAGCCTGAACACTTTCCGGTGAAAATATATGATGGGTTAAATTTGGAAATAGAAGTAAAACAAAGTCACCTTTTTCATAGAAAATCTTGTTGTAAAACATAGATCTGCTCGCAGCAAAAAGAGGTGCAAACACCACTGGACTATCTATATATAGAGTAATATGCATGCATTCTATTGAGATAGGTACAAAAATATATACACATCTAGTATCTATTTACTTAAATAGAAGAGCCGACTTTTATCACAAAAAGAATTGCGATGCGTCTACACTAACTATTTTTCAGTGTCACCGTGTGCGCCCACTGGCACGTTCACAGATCGTTCACTAGTCGCCCACTGGTCGCCTACTGGTCTACCCGCTGGTTGCCTGAACAGCGCCCACAAACACGAGCAAGCCAGGCGATGTGGAGAGATGAAGGTGCCAACAAGCGCGCGTCCACAAAACGAAGCAGAAGAGTCTGCGTCGGACGTCCAGGTCGGCTCGCGCTCAATGATCTACATCTCGAGCAGCCTGCGCGCTGCAGCACTATGCTGCCCCTAGGCACGACAGTCAGCAGCTGGCGCACTCCGAGGTGCCAAGTGCACTCAGCGACGGCACCAGGAACAGTTTGCAAGACGCGGGCGCCACAATGGCGCTCTCGCGCCCCACAGACGCGTCCCAGAGTGCGTTCTCTTCCTTGGCGCGCCCAACAGACACGCTCTTGTCGCTGCTCTCACATCCAAGCGCACGCACGCTGTTCGCCTCGGCTCAAGCACGGGCATGGACGTCGTCGCGTCGATGCTCTCTTTTCGCGCATCTGCAAAGCGCTCGTTGCTTGGCGACTCATGCAACAGCTCATTGCAGGAGGTGGAGGAGGAGTATGGGGACGCGATTGAGCTGCATGATACAGAGCGCAGCCACGCAACGGTCACACAGGCAGACTACCGCCATCTGGGTGACTACTCGCGTGCAGGCGCCGTTGTGCCACATGCAACAGGAGGAGGTGCGTCCTGTTCATATCACCACCACCAGCATGCCGCCGCATCTGAAGTGGCTGACCCCGTGGGGCATGCCGCGCAGGTGCCCCTCCCGCCGAATGCGGTCTCATGAGCGCTGCCAGCGCTGTCAACCTCAGGACTGGAAGAAGAGTCAGAGAAGGAGGAAGAGGCATCGGAGCTGACATCGGGGTCATCTGACGTGCTGTTATTGCTGTCGCTCTCGGGGCCCGAGCTCATGCAGCTGCCGCCATCGGACGCGAAGGAGGAGTGCGCGCACGCCACATGACGTGATGCTGATGCCGGTGGCGCCCGATGCTGTGAGCGTGCGGCTGGTGGAGGTGGCATGGCCTGCTGGTGAGTAAGGCGGGTTGGAGGTGGAGGGGATGCAGTTCGCTGGGGAGGCGCGGGAGGAGGAGGGGCAGCAGGAAGAGCTGCAACAGGAAGAGCCGAAACAGTAAGAGCAACAGCAGGAAAAACCGCAAGAAGAATCACCACAAGAAGAATCGCAACACGATGAGCTGCAACGCGAGGAACTGCACCAACCAGAGCCAGGTGAGCTCACAGAGCTCCTCGGTCGCAACCTTGTGGGGTGCAGAGACGGACGGGACGTACGACTCTTCAGTCCTGAACCTGTCACCGTTGCTCCGCTTGTCCGGCACGCGCGTCGCCGATGACCGTGCGTCCACGCCGCCGCCACTGCTCTTGGCGTGCAGCACGCCTCTGCTTGGCACCGACAAAGATTCAGACAACAATGAGGAAGACCCGGCGTGCATGCTGATGGCGAGGATGGCATCGCTCGTCGGCAACGAGTCCTCGAGCCTGCTCGGGTGTCGGAGGACACCGAGAGCGCGTGAACGTCGAGCACACCGCCAAGCGTGCCTTCAAACACGCGGAGCATGCTGTTCGAGAAGGAGAGGCAAGCGGTTGGTGCTGCGGCCAGAGAGCTGTCGATGGTGTTGTTGATGATGATGGACGGGGCGAGCGAGGTGGCAAGTAGCGTCGATCTCGAGCAGATCGAGCACAAGGAGTACATTGAAGTCACGGTGAGTTCTTTGGCGCATTCAGTGGCCATCTCTGCAGAGCCTTCTGTCAGGCACAAAGGCGTCGGCGCTGACAGCTTGACGTTTGTGCTCGAGGAGCCGTCACCGTGGTTTAGAAACCTGGCGATGACGTTCACGTCCGGATCACACTCCTCTCGCTGCCCTGCATGCGTGCAGTGTCACCTGAGAGCGTCGTCGGCTTGTACTTGTTGTTGCACCACTCGGACGAAGTGAGCGAGGCTCCGGCAGATCCTCAAGAAGCACTCTCGGCTGAACGCATCTGGGAAGAAGAGGCGTCGCCCCTGTCAGTATTCTGGGTCCTCTCTGACGCCGCATCGAGCTTGTCCAGGCACACCATGATCCGCGTCACATCTTCTCGTGCGTCCACACGGCAACGGCATCAGTCATGGTCAGAGACTAGGAGTGATCTTGAGCGACGTCTGCAGGTATGAAACTGCGGTGAGCAATGGGGTGTGGCAAAGGCAGTTATTGTGCAATGTTGGGTTTTTGGAGGCTGAGATGGCAACTTGCTGTGCGCAGCCGAGGCAGAGCGAAGTCGGGGCCAGTTTGTTGGGTCTGCTCACACTAAAAACACTGCTAACTTCCGAACGCCACAAGGCCACGTTGAGTTCCATTAGCTCCGCTTCAGACCATCGACCATCAGAGTGGGGTGAAGAGTGATCATGCATTGTAAGCGGCGATTTTCTGGTAACTGGCCATCAATACTTGGGCAATGAGTTAGTGCACAGCAGATGACGAGAGGGCGATGAATGAGCGATGAGTGGGCAGTATCCTGGCAAGTGACCATCAATGCGCGAGGCGATAAGTGGGCATACAGCAGATGATGAGAGGGTGATAACAGGCGGTGAGTGGGCGATCAATCTTATGTCTAAGAACATGTCTGCTTTTTTCCATACAAGTTTTCCTGACAATAATTTGGCTTTTTTGCCTCATATTTTGCAAAGACGGGAACCACAAAGTAAGCTTACTCTTTTTGTCTCAGCTGGAGGGATTCTTTTTAGGAAAAATATACAGGAAGAAATGACAATTATTTTGCTCTGAGAATATTTCAACCCTCTTGATACCCCAAAGGTGTAAAAGTGGCATAGCTTTTTGTACCATTAAAATGACAACTTCTCCATGGGAAAGTAGCTTAAGTATATTTACAAAGCAGAGTGAATATACTTTTGTATCTCTATCTGCACAAAATAATATAAAGTTAGCTCATATCTTTCGCAGCCTGCCGAGAAGTGAAACGCAATCGATTGGGAGAGCCTGAACGAGAGGTCTGTGTTTGAAAGGATTGTGAGCATTCGTGTGAGGACGAGGAGCCGGAGGTGTGAGGAGCACGAGTATGATAAACAGGCTGAGGGGAGTTGTGAGAGTTATGAACCTGTTGACCAGTGCCTGGTCCAACGAGAAGTTCTCCAGGTTTGAGGTGGTTGACATTGAGGTTACCGAATTCCTGTGTTCAAATGCAATGAACAGCTTCTGTAGCATTTTGGTCAGTTGCTGTGTAGGCGAGTGTTGTTACGCAAAAATCGTCAAAGGTGCGGTTAAGCTTTTTGACTCACCGAGAGAAATTGACTGCATTCCGTTGAATTGCCTCAACTGCCTCTCTGATAGCTTGTCCATCCCTCGCCACCTTGTCAAACCCTGCTTGAACTTCCTGTCCTTTCTCCACAATTCCTGCAAATAAAGCGCCAGAAGTCATGTCATCAGTCGCATCGAGTAAGGCCTGAAGTGCTGTTTGGTCGTGGGCAATGTTGTCAATCTTGTTGACCCACCCTCTACAACGTTGGGGGTTGTTGACAATGTCCCTGAGGTAGGCAAGGTGTGTGGGGGAGTCATTGGGGTCACTTCCATCATCGAGGGGGTTAATGTTTCTGGCAGTGATGTGGACACAGATTCCAAACTCGAATCCCAGAGGAATTTGTATGAGTTCAGCATTCTCTTCTGTGTGTTGTCAGATTTCGCCAGTGATTTCTTCGAGGGCTGTGGCAATCTCTTACTGTACATCGTTGGTGGTGAGCCCAGGCTCAGGGCTGTCGCGGTCAACCAGAGTTTCCTCTTGAACGGGAGAGAAGGAAGTCGAGGATGCGGGAGGTGTGGTTTCTCCGAGAGTAGCCTCGGGACTGCCATTGCGATAGTGGAATGAGTAAGGGGCCATGTTGTAGTAGTCAACTTGGGAGTTGGCTGCTGAGTTGTCAGAGTGATTCCTTTGACCTCTTTATACCTTTTCAGGATTTCTGCTGCATTCTTCAGATTGCCTTCTGGTTCCCATGAATTCTCAGCCATGAGTTGGTGTTTCCATCTGACTAGATATCGGCAATGTCCATACCAGGGCCAGTATGTGAGAATTGCTTCTACCTTGTATTCATCATGTTCATCAACGATCTCTGGTGGTGGTTCTAGAAAATTCTTCCCATGCTGTGGTGTCTCGTGGTATGGCGTGAGCAGCGAAGCATGTACCACAGGATGGGTCTTCATAGTGCTTGGAAGGGCTAGTTTGTATACTAGGTTCAAAAGAACCTTCTGCACCCTGAGTGGTCCATGTCTTTTGGGTGCCATTTTCTTGAAAGAGTAACTGTCTTCATGGTGAGTCATCTTCAGCCATACCTTCTGTCCTTTGGTGAATGGGGTGAATTTCCGGTGCAGTCTTCCTGCCATTTGAGCTGTGGCGTAGTCTAAGGCCGCTCCTGCTTCTTTATGGGCTTTCTGCCTTATTCAAAGCCACTCTTGAATTGACAGAACCTTTGATCATGTGAAGTTCGTCAGGAGTGCCTTAGGGTGAAGCATATGTCAGAACTCAATATTGGGCCCGCTATTCACAAAATACTCGCCGAGAGTCGAGTTTTTGCGGATTTAGCGCGGATGTCGTGGGCGTAGCCCCGGCCTCCTATTTTATTCCCATTTTCTCCGATTTATTCCATGTTTATACGACCCTCCAAACGTTGTCGGCGCATTAGCGCCAGTTTACAAGTCCTAGCCGCGCGCTAACACCTTGAAACGCATCACCGACGGGCACGCATCAGCGCATCAAACGCGCCTGTATTGTCGCCGCCCCACCGCCGCATCACGTTTCCCCGGTAATAGCCACACTCCGATCTCCACCGGACATCCGATCCCCGTCGGCCCGACAATGTCATACGCCATGACACACCAGCCCCCGTCTATCTCCGAGTCCGATCGGCAACGGACATCCTATCCCCGTCGGCCCGACAACGTCATCAGATATGACACGCCGGCCCTCGCTTCTCCATCAAAGTCCCCTGAAACGCCAGCAGCCGCCGTAGCACAGTCGCTTATGTAACGCCTGGTCCGTGCGCAACCTGAGTAGTATAAAAGGGCCCCCTTTGTCGCTACCTAGCCCCATCTCAACCTCTTGGTTAATTGGGCTAGGTAAGCCTTCGTTTGTATCGTAGTACAGTTACTAATATAACCTTGGTTAATTGGGCTAGCTGAATAAGCTAACGCACAGTCGCCAGACCTCGTCGGCGCCGCCTTTTTGATTAGATCCACCGAGTATCCCTCGTGGTGTGTTGACGCAAGTCCACATCATTAGGTTGAGATCTTCGTGCACCCGGACTATTCCCCCCTATCCAGTGCCCCGTGCACAGTTTAAAAAAAGTTTATTCCCACCGTTTGAAGAGTAAGTCTCTTCGGCGATTGGTGGCAGACGTACGCGCGCAGCGCTAATCCCTGCATAAAACCAGTGCCGAAGGATTTGCCCGACCGCCCCCGCGCTTTCAAACGCCTCGCGGACGAGCGTCACCCACGCCTCCGACGCGCGCTGCCCGAAGCCGTATTCAACCAACTCAGTCGAGAACGCGAAGCAGGCGCTCCACACCAGTACACCACCACCGAGCTCCGCGCTGTCGTCAGGCACGTCTCCACGCTCCCGCCTCCTTCCACAGCACTCCCGACCATCGACTGGGACGCTGTCGAACAAGCCAAGCTCGCGGCCCACGACGACCGCCAACACTTCCAGGCACAACGCAACCAAGCTCGCGTTAGGCAAAATGCGCACGCTAGCGCCTCTTCCAGCCGCCCCTTAGCGGATCGCCTCTCCGCCGCCCCTACCTACACTCCCATCGCCCCGAAACCCGTCACTATCGACTTCTCCCGTTATACGGCTGCCGACCTCGTCCGCATCTTCACGCCCAAGTTCGCAGCCACTCTCAAGCGCTTCAACGTGCTCGAGACGCTCGACTGCCCCGACGTCCTCACCAAAGACATCAGCGCCGTCTTCAAGCTCCGCGATCGTCTCGCACACCTCGACCGCACGCTCAAGGACGTCTCGCGCGTCATTAGTATCGAAGAGTGGAACCGTTGGGACTCAGGCTTAAAGCAGATCGGAGGGATCTCATTCAAAGGACTGCGGCGTAACCGAGTCCAGATTTTCAAAGCACTTCGTGCGGTTTGGGTAAACGGCTATTTCGATTAGATAAGCTGGACGAATATATAGTTTTCGAATACATAGACTACGACGAGGAGCGAATCCTCGACCCGTATATACTAGACTACGTGCTCGACCATCTCGTCGAGGTAGAAC